GATATTCCTTGCCCCCCTCCCCCCCCCGGTTGACGTCAGAGCTTTCAAGATGCCCAGTCCCCCAAACGTCATGCTCTTACCTTTTCTTGTTGTTTTGGATAATATCCATCCGCTCCTCCCGCGTCCCACCTGCCACACCGCAGAGGTAAATGTGGGTGTAGGGTTGCCTAGGTGAGGTCCACTGGGTAGGTAGTTGATCAGTTGAGGAGTGAGCCAGAGTGCTGCGGGGAGTTTAGCGAGGTGTAGTGCGTTGTTGTTTTCGCATTCTGGAGATACTGCAATGCTAATAGAATGGGTTCCAGCTCTATCAGGAATATACAAGAGTGCTATTCACTGTTGTTTCAGATGACCAGGATTTTTAACGTGATTGGGTTTGTTCGGGGAATTTTAAGAAGATAGCGTGGTGGGTGCACCAATGAGGAAATCGGCGAGGTGACCCAATCCCACCGCAGACCCCACATCCACTTGAGTGGCTTCCTCCCGGCATCCTGGTTTAGGAAAATGATCTCTTCTTCCGGGGTCTTCAGTCCAAAGGTCAGCCTAATAAGTCACAGAGAAAAAGAATTGATCTTCTACTATACCACCTGCATTTTAATGGTTTTTGATCCAAAATAAGTCACACATTCTATTTTTCTCAATAGAAATGACCTTAGCATTTTAAATTGCTATTCAATCAGTACACAGGTATACTAACTGTGACCACACTAGCTTTGTTAAAATGTACTTTTGCCTAAAATAATGTAGTAGAAATTACTGAACAATTTCCAAAATAGAAATTAAGTAGAGAATGTATGTTTTAATAGACAATATTGTCCTATACAGAAAAATACATTTTCCAAGTTTAATCAGAACTGAGGGCAGTGTAGAAGCTATTTATTTTCATTTGTATAGACACCAATTATTTCACAAAGAGAGCTCATTGAATTATCTGTAATATGTTAGTTATATTAGACATTCACTGGTATGCATAAATTTTACATTTTTTCAAAACAGAATTTTTGAACAATCAACAGGGAGAAACAATTGCAATTTGAGTTCCTATGTAAGAATCACATTTCTTATGCAACTCTCTTGATCACCAGTGATCTTGACCTTCCTACTGTCCCCCACATCCAAAATCCCACTTGCTACTTCTGGTCTTAACCTTGATCACCTGTCCTCACCCAACCTATATTAATTGGATGACTGATTTTAAAAAGGATGAGGGATTTAGGCCTTAAGAATTCTTAGTTAGATCACAATCTACCTTTGTAGATTACATTAGGAAAAATCCAAATAGCAGAAATAAAATTTTAAAGTCAAACTGTTTTTTTTTT